GATTAATATATCAAAATATCACCATGATGCAAAAGAGTTCAAAGGAAGTGCACCGAATCCTAAGAGAATGAAGTTAGCCACTCATGTTGGTCATTACAATGCTCCAATTGATGAAGAAGAATTGATGAAGATTGGACAAAACCCTAACAGTAGTCGTGCCTCCTCCTCTCCAAGACTGCTTCCTTTTCTCAAAACACAACTTATCTTTTTATAAGAGAATTTGGGTCGGGCCTTGCATCATTCATTCGCTTAAGCGCTCTTCTTTCTTTCAATTTTACTCCAATTATGCTGACAATTATGCTCCTTACTCTTGTATCAAGGTATTCTCAAATTCATCCTATATTGAGAGAAAAATATATTAGAATTAACATAAGTTAAGTGGTTTTATAACAATTCAAGGTATAATTATATCAACTTTTTACCACTTAACAGAGAGATGACAATGATCAAATAGAAAGATATCATGCTAGATTGGTGGTAAAGAGATATGCCCAGAAAAAAGGTATTGATTTCAATGAGATATTCTCAGCGGTTGTCAGATTGATGTCCATTAGAGTTGTCTTGACTATGTGTGCTACATTTGATTTACATCTTGAACAATTGAATGTAAAAACTACTTTTTTTCATGGAAATCTTGAAGAGAAAATTTATATGCTCTAACCAAAAGGCTTTAAAGAACAAGAAAACTTGATTTGCAGGTTGACCAAATCTTTATACGATCTAAAACAGGCGCCCAACTATTGGTATAAGAGATTTGATTCCTTCATTATTTGCCTTGGTTACAATGGACAGAGCTCAGACCATTATACATACTATAATAGGTTTGGTGATAAAGATTTTGTTATCTTGTTATTGTACGTTGATGACATGTTGGTAATAGGCCCCAACATAGATCGAATCCAAGAGTTAAAGGCACAGTTGACTAGGGAGTTTGACATGAAGGACTTGAGACCAGAAAACAAGATTTTAAGGATGCAAATTCATAGAGACAAAAAAGATAGGAAGGTTTGACTTTCTCAGAAGAATTACTTACTGAAAATCTTGTGGCACTTCAACATGCAAGATTGCAAGCTAATTTCCACCCCACTTCCTATCAATTATAAGTTATCATCAAGTATGAGTCCCAACAATGAAGTAGAGAGGATGAAAATGTATCAAATACTGTATGCATCAGTAGTGAGAAGTCTTATGTATGTTATGATTTGTACAAGACCAAACATTGCACAAGCAGTGAGAGTAATTAGTAGATTCATGGGAAACCCTGGTGGAGAGCATTAGAGTACTATAAAGAGGATCCTTAGATACATCAAAGGAACCTCAGGTGTTGCATTATGTTATGGAGGATCAAAACTAGTTGTTAGAGACTATGTTGATTCAGATTTTGCAGGTGATCTGGATAAAAGGATATCTACTAATGGTTATGTGTTTACAGTTGCAGGAGGGACAGTAAGTTGGTTATCCAAGTTGCAAGATGTTGTAGCTCTGTCTACCACAAAAGCTGAGTACATGGCAGCCACCTAGACATGTAAGGAAGTTATTTAGATTAGGAAGATAATGGAGGAACTCAGACACAAGCAACAACAAATTGTTATGTATTGTGACAGTCAGAGAGCATTGCACATTGCAATAAATCCAGTTTTTCATTACATGACAAAGCACATAGGAATAAAATATCATTTTGTTCGAGAAGTAGTGGAAGAGGATAGTGTGAATATGCAAAAGATTCACACAGATGAGAACCTAGCAGATGTTATGACAAAACCAGTTAGTGTTGACAAGTTTGTATGGAGTCGATCCTACTATGACCTAGTGGAAAAATAAGCAACATGGATGACAAGAATAAAACAAGCATGGTGTGAAGATTTGATTAATTTAATCAAAATCTTTAAGTGGAAGATTGTGAGAAGAAAAGTCTCACATCAGGAAAATCTTAGTTTGGTGCTTCATTTTCTTACTATAAAAGGAACATAGTATTTACTTTGTAAAATGCATCAAAATCACTTCCTTTTCTTTCTATTGTTGCTTTAATACTTGAGAGATAAATTAAGAGAGAAAAATAGTTTCTCTTTTTAGGTTCTCTTAGAGTTATTTTTTCTTTATTTTCAGGAGATGATATTATTGTTTCCTCTTTGAAGATAGAGAGAAATATTATAATTTCTTTTATTAGTGAAATTACTCTTATCTCAATATTTTTTTTATATTTTAGTTGTGCGTGCTTAGTCTTTTGTATTATACCTAACAATAATTTTGATATAATACAATTAGATATAACTTTTCTCAATCAATCCTTGAAATAAATTACTATTCATTCATGATCCTTAAAAATAAATTACTGTCCATTCATTAATGACCTTTCTCACTTTTAGTATCATAGTGAGTTTAGTATATAATATATCAACCCTAAATCCTATATTCAATCTTAACTTAGTTATTTTCATCAACTCAGATTATCACACATAATATAGGTATCGTTGTCATTAAAGACAGAGAATTTAAAACCAATAAATATTTGTTGGCTCTCGAACACCACTCTACTCGAAAGTCACCAAACTAATATCCTTTTACATCAAATAAACTTTTATTGTCATCCACAAGATAATGATTTTCATTATCTTTTAAATAGAACGTATAATAAATATACTTCTACAAACCTCTAGGTTGAAAGTCTCCGGTCACAAAGTAATACAACGATTTATTAATATTAGTCAACATATGAAGATATATTTGACTCAAATAAATCCTTATTTCAATAATAATGCAATTATTTATTGAATGTTTATGTGAAACTCAAACAAACAACACTATAACGGTATTTGGCCTTATCAAGAATTTTTATTAATTCTTTTAGGATTTTATCTTACAAATTTAAAGTGTGATTTAGAACCATATGCATGAGATGATGTGAGTTGTAACCATAATTAAAAAATAATAATAATAAACACTGTTGTTATTTTAAACTGTTTCGATTTTAAATTTTTTTATTATTTATTTTCTTTCCAAACAAATCTGACATAAAACTTTCGTATAATTATAGTAAAGAGATAACAATTATTTCTTCAAAATAACAATTTTATAAATCAAGATTGAAGAAATCATTTCTCTTATTATATTTATAAATGATGATTGCAGTGATAAAGATTTTTTGGTACGAATTTAAATCGATCATACTCATTTAAAAGTACAAGAAAAATATCGTCAAATATAAAAAAATATTTATATATTTTATTGTTTTTTTTTTAGATATCGATCGGCCTTCAATCTTAACAAACAATATTCACAATTTTTATTCACTGAAAAAAAAAAGGTGCATATGAAAAGATATATGAATCTGTTATTTAACAAACACAAATATTGCTCCTTAATTTTATATTACATCAAGCTCGATAATCTCATTTTAACTTTGAAAATTTTTCATTCTACATTATAACAAATTTTATTAACAAAAAATATTCAAAGGTTGTTATTTAAGAAAAAAATAATTATTGGTGGGAATCTTTCCCCTTCTTCCGGAGTACGATTTCACCGACAGAATTCTAGGGCTCAATTCAACATCAAAATCTAATTGATAATAGATCTAATCAATCACTTTCATAATAACGTCAAGCAAATTACAATAATTTTACACAGATGATAAAAATATTTAGAAATTAATATTATTATGCTTTAATATAATATCAATCTTTGAAAAGAAATATAACAAAAATATTAAATTTATCACAGTAAACACTCACAGATGTATAATTTTTGAAGTAATACGTGTTTTGATTAAGAAGGAAGAGTGTCTCTCTTTCATACGACAATATGCATTAAGATTGATTTCTATATTTAAAATATTATCTATTTTAAAATTTTACTTTATCACGATTTTCCTTTATCATGATTTTATTGTTAAAACGTGTCTTCAAAAATAAAAAAAGAAAGATGTATTACATTCACCTTAATTTATAAATTACGTAAGACTTCATTGAAACAAAATATTTTTGCGTGAAGTATACGTAGTTGATGTTGTTTTAGACTATGTTTGAAATTATTATTTTTTACAAATTTAAAATTTTGTTTGACTTCGATAAACAAACATGTTTTTATAGCTTAATCTTTTTTACAAATTGAAAAGAATATCCAAAACTGTATAGCTTAGTTTTTTATTTTTTATTTTTTCAATAGAAAACGTGCTTGTTTGGTTGAAATTATTGCTCGTCTAAAAGACAAAGGTAACTAATTTACAGGTGTGTGGTGCCAGTGGCTACTTTGCTTCCTGTCAGATTAATATGTGCTTGGACCACAATAGTCTTTTCCTTTGGTAACCAACCAACAAAATATTTTTGAAAGCAAATTCTAAAAGATGTTGAAAAAATAAATATTTTATTAATAAAATAGTACAGATAAAAAAATAAAAGAAAAAAATAATTATATTATATCAAATAAATTTATTAATAAAAATAAAATAAAATAAAAGACATGAGCGAGCACGTCAAAATTCATAATGTTTAAGAGAATCTATATTTTGGTAAAGAGTATTATTCATGTTGTTTTAGACTATGTTTGAAATTATTCTTTTTATAAATTAAAAATTTTGCTTGACTTGAAAAACAAACATGTTTTTATTAGTTTGAAACGTTTTTTCAAAATTATGTTTTACATTAAGATTTTTCTGACTTAAATTGAGATATTTTTAATAAAAAAATCATTTAAATATTTTATTTTCTATCTTTCATGTCCTCTCCTCAAAGTTTAACCAACCATTAAATGTGTCAGTGATTAAGTTGAAGAAAACATACATTAGTAATGCTGGTAATGGCTTCAACCATCACTTTCATTTTGTCAAAGTGATTTAAAGTTTTCTTTTCCTAAAAGGTGGAGGACATAAAATAATGCACATGATGTTGATAAATAAAATATTATAAAAATATGAAAATGATTGTGGATAATAGAGATAAAGACGGGTTGTGACTTCATTTCCAGAGAGGAAACAATTTGGGTATTGAAATAGAGAAAGGTTTTCATTCATGAAATACAACACACGAGGTACTAAATTGAGGGAGGGAATATGGTCCTTCTAGAAAACCTTGAGCGATGAATGTATATGCAGCCTCGGTTAAATGAACACCATCCCATCCAATATGCTTCCAAGGATCATCACAAGCACTCACGTTTTGATTGCCACACACTCGTAATGTATTATAATTGTATCGACCTCCCATTCCGCAACAAACTTCAAGACCCGTAAAACCTGCATAGTAATCAAAACATAAATCACAATATCAACAAATGTGTTTTGCTGAAATATGAAAACATTTTTTGAATTATAATGAGAGTTGGGAAGTATGAATTACCAAACTTTGTGGGATGACGATATAAAGTCATTGCAGCATTGTAATAATCAAGATAGATAATATTAGCATGCGGATGAAGTAGTCGAAGCTTATCTAATTCAATTTGGAGCTCATGGTTGTAATATTCAGCAAACTCATTTAGCCACTTCAAACACCCAAATTCGTCATGTTCATCCTCGTATTTGGTTTCATAGACAGTTAAATATATTGCACTACATCCAATTGGTAAATTCCCAGGAACCACGAGCGTGCGTGCCCCTAGACCAATCAACTCCTGTAAAGTAAAAATAGTAGAAAAAATCCACAAAAATAGAATATACCATTCGTAAAATTGATGATAAAGATTTTTGACGACTAATTTGATAATAAAATCTTTGAAGAAGTAAAGAAGTGGACAAACAATTCTCTATAGAGAATAATCTGGTGAATGTGTAACTCTTTTATCCATTGAGTATATGTTAGATAATTTACAACAATTTAGTACTGAGCTAAATTCATTCGCAATTTGACAAGAGAAAATTGACAATTTACTTATAATAGAAAATTAAAATCTTACATTGATAGTTGAAGATATTGCATTGATTACGTCCGGCACGAACGTTTTAATTTCTACTAAACTCTTTCTTATATAGAAAGCATGATTGAAATCGTTTCCACCGATTTCACCCACAAGAAATAATGAGTTCTTAACCTCTTTATGGCAACCTGCAAGATCCAACAATTAAAAATCAATATATATTATCAAATTGGATTATTGTTGTTGGTGTTTAGGGCGTGGAGCCATAATGTTGTATTCCATTTCTGTACACTAGTGCTTTCGGGTATATTGATATTAAATTAAATTAAAATAAAATGAATGCAGCAATTGATTTGAGGGTGGTGCTTGTTTGCTCAGTTCTTGTTCTTCGGATAACGAAAATCAAGAAGATGGGAAAATAAAAATGGTTAGACGAGAGAAAATAATAAGAGAAACTTACTTTGGGGAGAATGGCAAAGAGTAGAAAGGAATTCCTTGAACCAATTCAATTGAACTGACAATGTATAATTAGTATGAACAGGAATGCCCCTCTCTTCAAAGAAGCTTGAGTCTAGTGCGGTGGCTCCCGCAACGGCAAAATTCACTCCTCCTTCTTTCACACTCCATCCACCCATATTTTTCATTCCCAAATACGGTCTCACCAATCCAATTCCTAGATACTCAGCTACACATAAAATAATAAATCTCTAAAATATGAATATCACCGATATCCCTACGGAATAATATTCTCTCAAAATTTAATATGTGATGAATAATATAGTTATTCATTTTTATATTAATTATCTTTAAAATTATAAATTGCTTGATCGTGTAATCTTCTTTTTGTTTCGATAAAAATGCCCATTAAAGTCTTTATAAAAAATTAATCATCAAGCTTGAAACATCACCCAACGTCGGTAAAAAAAAAAAAGAAGAACAAGAAAAAACAGGTTTTCAATCTCTAACAGCTTTTTCAGCCTCAAATAATCATAAATTTTGAATAGTTTCTATGTTTTGTTCAGTCTCACACGTTTCAATTTTATAATTCTTATTGTATTTAAATAAAACTAGCTATTTAACTTTTATTTTTAATAAATTTATCCACACAAAATCTGTCAACTTCAATGTTACTCTTTTTTTTTTACGTAATATATATTTTTAAACAAATTTCTCTATAAATATTTTTAAGAGAGAAAAAAATTAATAAATTTTTATGCATTAATTCGTAAAACAAAATTTATGATTTTTTTCCGCTTAACATGTAATATTTACATGAGTAGTATATTTTATAAAAAATCAAATATTTTGATATTTTGTTCTTCACTAGCATCCTATTAAATTTATAATCCAGAAATAACATCATTCTATTAATATTTACCTAATTAAGCACAATTTTCTTACACAGTTAGAATTCGATTATTAAGAGACCGAATTCCAACCTCATTACTTAATATAATTTTAAAAATAGAATAATATTTATTAAATATAATAATTAAATATAAATATATATATTTTATATAATATATATATATATATATATATATAAATATTATATATATATATATATATATTCTTTAAAAAAATATATTTATATAACTATATTATTAATATATTTTATAAATATAATAAAATTTAATAAATATATATTTATATCTTTTTATATAATATTTTTACATAAATAAATTATATATATTATTTAAATATATTTTTAATATAAAATAATTTTAATATGTAAAAATAGTACTAATTAAATAAATATTGATAGAATAATATTATTTTTGAATTATAAATTTAATAACAGTTAGTCAGATAAATAATATTATTTTTAAATTATAAATTTAATTGTGCATGTAAAAATAATACTAGTTAAATAAATATTGATAGAATAATATTATTTTTGAATTATAAATTTAATATCATGTTATCAAGATAAATAATGTTATTTTTAAATTATAAATTTAATAAGATGTAAACAAAAAAATCCAAAATTTATATATTATTTTAACTTATGCATTAATTAATTTTAATTTAGGAAAAAGTTTATTTATTTATTATTTATTGTTTATCATAAATAATGGAAGCTGCGGAAAGAATCATAATTGAAAGGAGTTATGAAAATGAGAAGAAATGGAAGTGAAAAAGTGATACTGATGAAATCGATGATGAGACGACCATCAGAGCAGCGTCCAGTGACACGGTGAAAGAAGGTTTGGCCGTAGGGAGGGAAGAAGCAGTGGTTGTTGGGTGGTGGATTGGAGCTCAGATACAGGTTGCCGGTGTCAGCGAGGGAATCACCGAAGCTGAAGATGGAGGAGTAAGGGCACGAGGCGAGTAAGAGTGCCGATTCTGTTTTGGAAGAAGAAAAAGAAGGTAACATCAGAAATGCAAGCACCACTGCTACACTCTTTGGAGTAATCCATGGCTCTTTACCAATTGACCCCATTCGTCAATGTCCTCCACTGCTGTACCAGAACAATTATTTATAGAATGCTGAAATACATCTTAATTTTTTATTTATTTTAAATTCTAAAGATATTTTGTTCACGTGATATTTTTGATCCTAAAAGTTTATTTAAACAAAAGTTTTTAACCGTCCCAAAATATAAAAAGTGACATTTCTCTTGTTTATTTTTATTCGTTTGGCTTTTTTATATTCATTTGTACAACATACACGACTGAACGAAACTTAGTAGTGCATTTCATTATTTATTTAACACCATCTTGAATTTTAATATTTTTTATTTCATCATTAAGTTTACAAAATTTAAATATTTCATTATCATATATTTTTTAAACTTTTACATGATTTATTATCATATTGGTAACTAACTACATAATTTTATAGGGATAGATTAACACTTTATATATTTAATTTTAAAAGGGGTAAGTATGTTTTTAGTCCTGTATTTTAATGTATAATTAGAAATAGTCTCTTTATCAAAATCTAAGTAAAAATGATTCCTATATTTTTAAAATAATTGTAATATGTCCTTATTTTAAACGACGTTAAATATATGGTGATTTGTTTAATAGAGATAGTATGACACATTTATTATTTGACACGTGTAATTATTTAAAAAAAAACAAAACTCTTCTTAAAAAAATAGAAATTATTCAACAGAGATTATTATTTAAAAAAAAAACAAATAAACAAAATTAAAAAGTAGAAGTTTTTCTTTTCTACTCACGTACCAAAACTCTTCAGTTTTCGTCACAACTACTTTTTATTCTCTCTTCTTTTCTTGTCATACACCAAAGGTCTTTTTTTTTTCTCCTTTCTCTGTAATGATTGTATGAAGTCAAAGTGACTTTGAAGTTCGAGGATTCCATCAGTTCGTTGTGATTCGATTGACAGTGTGACGATGGTGCAAAACGGCAGTGTGCGACAGTGGTATATCATATAGCTAGGGTTTTCATTTCCGAAAATTAAGATATATTTTTTCATTTGCAAAACTAAATATTTATTTTGTGTTCTAATACATGCATTTGGGGGATTTTGTTAAAATGATTTAGGGTTTTTCTCGTACATTGTTTGAATCAATTTTTCATATTGTAGGATTACAATGGGTTTTCTCTGTAACAACATAAGAGGATGCAAAAATCAACCAAAGAAAATCACACGGGTAAGATAGATTTGTGCCAGATTTGTCCCATTACAGTTATATCTGCAGACACTACAACGGTTAAAACAGTGGATAAGAGGCAGCCCAAATCTACCTCCAACGTTCCAGCACCACTACAAAAAAAAACCTTATTATCTACGGGTAAAATCCGTAGGTGTAATGACAAAAATCCGTAGGTAATGTCACATTACCTACGGATTTCTTTCCGTAGAAAATCCGTATGTAATTTGGTCGTAGGTAATTACCTACGGATTTTTTTCCGTAGGTAATGCACTCGCTGGAATTACCTACGGATTATAATCCGTAGGTAATGCACTCACCTAAACAAAATATTTTTATTTATTACAACCCCCTCCCTTATTTTTTATTACTACCTAGGACCCCCCTCCCCTTTATATTATATTTTTATTATTTATTATATTTTCGAAACTTTGAGTTATTATTAGATTAAGGGAATTATCATTGGCAAGATTCAAACCCAATACCTCGAGTTGGAGGCTGATACTCCAACCACTAAGCTATTAAGATATTTTGATAATAATTTACAAATAAATTATATTTATATTTATCCAGTGTAAAGATATAAATATAAAATATATAAATATAAAATATATATATATATATATAAAATATATATATATATATATATATATATATAAAATATATCAATATAAAATATATTTAAATATAAAATATATTTATATTTTGATATATTTATATATTTGTATTTATATATTTATATTTATATATTTATATTTATATTTATATATTTATGTATTTATATATTTTTGTATTTATATATTTTTGTATTTATATATTTATATATTTATGTATTTATATATTTATGTATTTATGTATTTATATACTTATTTATTTATGTATTTATATATTTATGTATTTATGTATTTATGTATTTATGTATTTATATATTTATATATTTATATATTTACATATTTACATATTTACATATTAACATATTTATTAACATATTTATATATTAACATATTTATTAACATATTTATATATTTATATATTTTATATTTATATATTTTATATTTATATATTTATATATTTATATATTTATATATTTTATATTCATATATTTTATATTCATATATTTATATATTTTATATTTATATATTTATATATTTATACATTTATATATTTATATATTTATACATTTATATATTTATACATTTATATATTTATACATTTATATATTTATATATTTATATATTTTATATTTATATATTTATATATTTATACATTTATATATTTATACATTTATATATTTATACATTTATATATTTATATATTTATATATTTACACGAATAAATATAAGTATAATTTAGTTGTAAATTATTATTAGAATATCCTAATAGTTTAGTGGTTAGAGTATGAGTTTTCAACTTTAAGGCACTGGGTTCGATTCTTGCTAATAACAATTCTTTTAGTTTAATATAATTTACCTACGGATAGTAATTCCGTAGGTAATATCCGTAGGTAATGTACACTTTACCTACGGATAGTAATTACGTAGGTAATTACCTACGGAATTATCCACGGATTACATTACCTACGGATTATTTCCGTAGGTAATGGATAATTACCTACAGATAGAATTCCATAGGTAATATCCGTAGGTAATGTACAATTTACCTACGGATTTTTATCCGTAGGTAATATCCGTAGGTAATGTAAAATTTACCTACAGATTTTTATCCGTAGGTAATATTCCGTAGATAATAGGCTTTTTTTTTGTAGTGCACCAAGAAGGAGAGGGAGACCATCAACATTAGGCTCCTAAGCCAGTTCCAACAATCCCACTACCTAGTCCACATGAAATTTAATGGGTTTTGTAATGTAAATTACTTGGGTATTGTAATATGAAGCGACTCATACTACTTTTGTAATGTAGAGTGGTTAACTATTTTTTAGTTTTGCTTCAGTTATGGTCAATAATTGTTATCCAATTCTTTTATATATTACTTTAAAACAGTGGTCAACAATTATGATCCACTTCTTTTATGTATTACTTAAAAACAGTGTGGTTCAGCTTTATTGCAGTACTTTATGTGGACAAGTTCTTATATTAAATTACATATTTTTCCTTGTTTCCCTTCATTGGTTGAATATGGGATAAGATTGAAACATGATTATGGGTGTTGTGGGTGGACATTAAAAAGTAAAGAAACATGTTAAATACAGGAACATGTATTTGAATGGTACGTGTATATGTAGGAACATATATGGTATACTCCATTTTTAAAGAATACAAAATCTAATTCATATTAAAGATGAATTGTATTTAAATTCAAGAGGAATTATCTGGACATAGATCCATTCTTAAATAGCTTTTAAATACTTTAAATTTAGATTTAAATGACTTATAAATGACATAGAAGTTTAATTTTTTTAAATAACTTTTAAATGTTATAAATGTATATTTAAATAATTTTTAAAAGTTTGACACCTTTTAATTTTATTTTTTTAAATAATTATACGTATTAAATAATGAATGAGTAGTAACATTTTTATTAGAGTCAATATATATTTACCATTGATTAAAATAAAGACTTATATTAACGATTCTAAAAATATAAAGACCTATTTTAATTATTTTAAAAATATAAAAATTATTTTTATATGAATGATCATACAGTGACTATTTTTAATTTCAAGTACAATATCTTGGAACGCTGTGCTTAAGTATTGCTTAAAGTCAACAACGTTATGGTAGCAAAATTAATCACATTACTTGACAAAGTTTATGAAAGGACAAATGACATGACATATCAGCTAGAAAAAGTATAGATTGAATAAACAAATATATCATGATAAGGTTCTAAATAATGAAATTCTGAAATATCTCCTTCCATCATAATTTTTTTAGTTAAGTGTTACGATATCTTTACAATAAGAAACTTTGAAGTTAATAATGAGATTAATTATAAGAGTTATAAAATCATATTAAATAATAATTTACATTATTATAAAATTTTGTAATATAATAATATTTATAAAATTAAAATAAATATCTCAATTAAATAATTATGTACTCAAAAAATTTTGCACATATTAAATTCATAAATTATTATTATTACTCCTTAACAATCCTCTTTATTTTTGTAAGTTTAACACTATTTTCTGAGTTAAACAGGAAAAGAATATCCAAAACTGTATAGCTTAGTTTTTAGTTTTTATTTTTCCATGGAAAGCGTGGTTGTTAGGTTGAAATTATTGCCCAGATCTAAAACTTGTAGAATAAAAGAAAGGTAATTTATATGTGTGGTGCCAGTGGCTATTTTGCTTCAGTGAGATTAATGTGTGCTTGGACCACACCCTCAACCATATTAGTCTTTTCATTTTCATTTGGTAACCACTCCACAACAACTTTTGAAAGCAAATTATAAATTACTAGTGAAGAAAGATCACTCTCCCCAGTGAATGAATCCCATCCTTTTATTCACATCACCAGTCCATATGAAGTTTCTAATCCATTTCTCAGTCTCCTTAAGTGTATAAACAAGTCAATTATAAAATTTGAAATTATAGCTAAGTGCACCTGCAATGACAACGTTTACAATGGTGCTGAGCAATCTTCCTTTTCATGTAGCAAACTTGGTAGAGTTTATCCATCAAGCCCTTAAAGTAATTAGCCTTAGGAGCACCTTTGAAACTCCAGTGTCAAATAAGAAAAAGGCGTAACACCTTTACCGAATTGAAGCCCAGGATACACGTGATTTTCCATTAAAGATAATAGTAGTATTGACAGTGTAGAAATTACTTTTAGCTAAGTTTAACTAAGTGATCAGATTC